AGCTGATTGTGCCTAACAGGATTATCTGCCAGCTTGCCAAAACACTGCCTGGAATCTGCATATCTGGCAACGCAGGCAGGAGAAACAAAGAGGCAAATTAGCAAAAGCTGTCGAAATTATTTTCTTTGTGGCTAAATTTTCATTTTGTTTATTACTTATGAAGGGTGTTGCAAATTTGATTGAACTGTGCAAAACAAGCAACCACTTTTAATAATTCTAACAGGCAAGGGTTTTTTTTTTTTAAGCAAAACAAAACACAAACAAAAAGAGTAAAGAAAAGGAAAAACAAGCCAAGTGAATTCAGATGTAGTTGTTGTTATGCTTACCTTAATGTCCCACCCCAGATATCAGTTCCCACAAGACTTGCAATTTCTTAAACTGGGTCAAAAATTAGTTTTTAGTTGTTGGTTATGGATTCCTGCACTTGCAACTTTACTAGTGTGAGTCTCAGGGTGAGATTAAATAAAACTAATTTTAATCCTGTGTGGTAAAAGTTCTGAGAACCCCTTGCCCCAGTTTAATACCCTGAGTAGCTTTCTATCTGATCAGGGGCTCCTAAAGCTCTCCAGTCCTGGACGCAATTTAGAGAGAATTTGTCAATGAGTCTTAGACATGGTAGACACGGTACAATGTTTCCAACGTGGATTCACCACCTCTGGTGTGGATACTTACTCATAATTTGACATATTGATGCAATGATACATGGCCGACAACAGTTAGTTCAATAGTAATATTTTTAGTGTAGTGTGGATGAGATTTTAAAAATAGGACATAACCAATGGGCAATGACTTAATGAAGTACCAGCCTTTCACCCATGTTGCATCCACCTAGGGCAGCATCCTTTTTCATCAGTGTTCTCAAAACACAGCTGCAGCAGTTATTTGAGGTCAGAATCTCATTTATTTCTGAGTCTAACAGCATCTCAGGGACAACATGAAGATTTTAGTGTAAATCCCATTCACATTAATGTAAATGGACACCATATAGACAAGACTGAGAGGTAATATCGATAAAATGATTATTTCTCACAGGAAATGGTATAAAAGAAATGGGCTCCTGGATATAAATACATATATAAGGGATTAAATTATCACCATTTGGTAAACCTAATTGCAGAGAGTCAGGTTTGCAGCTTCTTTGCATAAACCCTGACAGTGAGCAGACATACCTGACAGGATGCTCAATAGTGAGTTAATTACAAAATGTAATGATATATTTACACCTTCTATTGTTAACATGCAGTTACAATCATAGCTGTTCCAGTCAATATTTTGATTTGGGCAAAAAGATAAAATGACTGAAGTGTCACTGGTGGTGACAAATGCAAAGAGCATTTTATACAAACATTGCAGCTTTCCAGAGCATCTTAGACTTAAACTTATTGCTGCGGTTTTTCAGACCTTACCTTTGTAATCGATGTTCATTTCAGGAGCAGCAGCTGGCTATTTTGAGTGAAAAAACAGAAGACTTCATTCTGTCTGCTCAACACCACATGGCACAAAGACGTAATAAGCAATCAGAGTAAATCAGTTACATGTTTGTGAGGGTGGAGACCAAAAGTAAGCAAAAAAAATGAAGTTCACACTTGGCCAGAAACTTGGCACAAAGTTGCAGGATTCAAAGGTGAGTATTTAGGGTCTACTTTTAAAGGCCACAGCATGAAATGTGTTATTTGTGACGTGCAGTGTTGGGAAGGTTACTTTTAAAATGTATTCCGTTACAGAATACAGAATACATGCCCCAAAATGTATTCTGTAACGTATTCTGTTACGTTACTCAATGAGCGTAACGTATTCTGAATACTTTGGATTACTTAATATATTATCATGCTTTTTACAACTACGTGAATGTACTATTGCTGTGATTTATTACTGTTACTGAAGGTTCGCGGCTCCGAACCGTAGTAAAGGGACCGCTGACTGATACAGCGGGTTCCGTGTTGGGCTCGTAGCCGAAAAATAGCTTTACTTTGTTGTGTGGGTCAACTTTGCTTGCGAGAGACAGAGAGAGGCGTTGAAAGGCTGCTCCAACGGAACTTATTGTTTCGAAGGAAAACACGAACACGGCGTACAGTCGAGTCTTAATAGCTTACTTACAACTGGGCTCGTCAGGCACTCTTCTTGGCTGAAGTGGTTATTATTATATTTACATGCTTCCAGCTCCCGTTTTTGCTCGATGACAACTCGTACTTTTCCACTCGCCTTTTTCTCTCTCCTCGCGTTCACAGACACATAACAGTCCATTCACCCTGCAGCACGGACTACACTGCCCATGATGCTACATTCTTTAGAGCATTCTGTAGCATTCTGCCTATTAGCTTAGCACAACAACAACAACAACGAAAAGGCGCTCTCTCACCCAGGAAACACTAGAGAGAGAGCGTCACCCTGTAACCATGACAACCGTAACGCTGCCATCTGGAACAATAGAACGTAGCTGTCAAACAAAACCCAAACAGTCCTGACCCGCGACAATATGAAACAGGAAAGTACCGCAGTGTAATCCATTTATTTCAACAAAGTAACTGTATTCTGAATACCACCTTTTTAAACGGTAACTGTAATGGAATACAGTTACTCATATTTTGTATTTTAAATACGTAACGGCGGTACATGTATTCCATTACTCCCCAACACTGGTGACGTGAGATTAATATTTGTAATATCACAGAGATCTATGCCTTAGTGTAATTCATGTAGCGTTCATCCTCCGATAACTGCTTTTTAGGCAGTGGGGAGAGGACGAACAAGTAGAGAACTACACATCTTTACATAACAGCACTGTAAACTTAGATTTCTGGAAGCTAATGAAACTCCAACAGTTACAAAAGCCATTGTGGTCACTGGTTAGTTGTTAACTGTATCCGTTTTAGATGCTGAGCATACTTATTTGTTTTCTGGGGGTTTTGTGTTTTCTGGGGGTTTGCTGCAAATATCTGCCTGCTGCAGTTGAAAATAACTATAAGGGTGGTGAGAGTAACAGAAAATTTGTGGACGGTTAAACAGTGATCCTTTAAATATTGTCTGTAAGCATAGGAAATACTTTCTTTTACTCAGGCATCTGGAGATAAATAATTCAACAGCTATGCATTCCCTTCCAAACATAACCCTCTGCTGTGCCTCAGATACTCTTTTAGCTCTTCTGTAGAGTGAAGGATATGTATTCAGGTATTATTATAATTACATGCTGTATAGGATGTGTTATTTATTACAAGGCATACACTTCATCGATAATAGGTAATATATATAAAGTCTTGCTTTCTCCGAGAATTTGCTGCATTTGGACGGTCACAGATGATCGCGCTGGAAAGTTAGCATTTCTCATTTAAGATCTGAAGATGCTCTGGGGCTGTAGAGTGATACACTCCAGAGTGGTAGTCACTTTTAGCGCACACACACGTCTGCAAAAAAAAAAGTAATTGACATAAATAAAACAAAGCACAGGGTCTGAGTGAGATTTGATTTATTTATGCATTTATTTGTGATTAATTTGCTGTTTTCTGTGTGTCAGGGACAGAATACACAACCATCTGCAACAATAGAGAGTGTTTTTGTGTATGCGTGTGTGGGCGTCTGTGTGTTCGCGGCCACATGCTAAGCCACAGAAGGTTTCCAGTGTTAAGTCTCCCCTCTGGCTCTGTGAGAGAGAGAAGGAGGGAGATTACAGTGCCTATTGCCAACTTCAAAGTGTCTACTGGTGTTGTGCCAGGTCAGCATGTTTACACAGGAGAATTGGTGTTGGGACACACAGGATCATAGGCACACACACACACACAGTCTTCTGCATGCACATGTGTAGACACACCTTATCGCCTGCTCTGGCTCCTGAACATGCACGCACACACAACGCGCACACTGCCCAGAGTGTATTGGTCTTATCAGTGGTCCCAGTGAGTTAGGGGAGGCATTTAATCAGGGTCAGCGCACAGCTCTTGGCATCAAACTGATTCCACCATCTCTCTCTCTCTCTTCCTCCTCTCTTCCATGTCTTTTTTTTTCTCACTGCTCACTCTACTTTTCGTGTAGTCGGCTAAATATTGCCCAGCAACAAAGTTTTGTTCCGAAAAAGTTAAAACTGGATCACAAGAGGCTTCAAAATAGTTTCACTTTTCATAAACTTTTCCAGCTACTTTTGAAAACATTGTAATACTGTTGCCGCCTTCACAGTTACTCATTTGGACCTGTGTGGTAAATAAAGTGGTTTGAGTTAAATCAATAGTTAGACATTCTGGGAATTGCACACATTTGCTTCTGCTGGTGGAGTGTTAGCTGAAAGGGCACAACATAACAGATGGAAATGGAGGTCCAGCTAACCTGGATCTGTCCAACACGTACACCTAAAGAGACCAGCTATTAAATCACAGCCGATATAAAAATAGATAAAACCTTTTTTAATCCCACGTGTGTATGTAGACTGGATTTGGCCCCCTTTTATCTTCAGATCTGCATTAATTCTTCATGGCATAGATTCAACAAGGTAATGGAAACATTCCTCAGAGATTTGGTCCGTATTGACGTGATAGCAATTGCTGCACGTTTGCACATCCATGATATCTCATATTAAACCACATCCCTAAAGCTGCTCTATTTGACTGAGATCTAGTGACTGTAGAGGCCATTTGATTGAACCAATTAGAGATTATTTGAGGTTTGAGGCTTTGCACATCATCCTTCTGGAAGCAGCCATCACATGGGTACACTGTGGTTCCGTTGTGTCGTGAGTTCTCAGAATAGACTACTTGCACTAGGGCATGTGACGTATTTCCGTTTCCAAATAGTACCGCTTGTGCGTTTCCGGTACGTTTGCTTATCTATCGGTAGCTATGCTAATGTCGCTTCAGAATGAGTATAAAAAGGAAAGTATTTAAAACAGAACATTTTCAAAAACAGGAGAAGAAATACTCCGAGCATTGCTGTGTCCCACTTTGTTCAGCTTCAGCCAAATTTAACGGCATACTAAGTTTTCATGCCTTTCCGACCCATTCCGACTTGAGAAGACAATGCTGGTAAATATACGCCGGGATCATTTCACGATTACCTCTCACACCAGGGTCTGCTGCAGACACTTTGCCAGTGATCAACTCATAGAGCCAACAACCCTCGATGGTCGAAGGAGGCTTATTAAAGGTGCTGTACCAACACTTTTTGAGTGGAATGGCTATAAAGTTGAACCACCGCGGCGTAGTGTTTGGGAGAGAACGGAGCGACGCCCTGAACTAGTTCCTCCTGACGATCAAGAAGAGCAAAGTCTTACAAGAGATCATGACTACTGCTCAGTCTCTGAGCCGTCTGCATTGGACATATCTGCATCAGCTGCAGAAGACCTGTCCAAAGACGTGGAGACTCTGAGGAAGGAAATACAGGAGTTACGTGTCCAGCGAGAATTTGGGTTACAGCGTTTTGCTGGCTCCGACACTGACATCCGATTCTATACCAGGTACATCTAAGTTCTATTCAAGCTAACTGTTTAAAATATACCAAGGTCACCATCAGTTAAATTTCGAAAGTTTTTCCAGTCTTAATGAAAACAAAATAGAAATTTACTTTTTCTCTGCTGATTGTATGTTTTATGTAGATGCTTTAGTATTTAAACGATATCCTAATGCTACAGGTAAAATACAACGCCAAATACTCTTAATCAGACTATTTTATACAGCATACCATTAGCATATTTGTCACAGTTCACATTATTTTTATGTCAGTGTGTAATGTTAATTAATGATTGACACGATGTATGGCTCTCTCGTGAATAGATTTCCAAGCTATGATCATTTGATGGCATTCTGGGTTTTGATTGAGCCTTGCATCTATAAAATGATCCGGGTTTCAAGAGCCAAGTCAGCTGCCAATCGGAACGAAGAAGTGTTGACACCTGCACGCACATCAACAGTAGGTTATGGGTTTGTTGGTAGTTAGAACTAGAGGTGTAATGTTATTGTATTTATGTACAATAACATTACATTATGTACATTATGACTCAGTATCCTTTACATACATACACCTGTGCACTACAGCACCTCATTGTTTACCCCATGGTACAGTATGGTATGCCTAACCATTACAAAACATTTAGCCAAGAAAAGAATAATTTTACTAGTTCATAGCTTAAGGAGTAACATTTTCCCTTTTGTTTTCACCTTCCAGAGGCAGCTGCTACAGCCAATTGACGAGTTTTTTCTTTTCCTGGTTTTCCTGTCAGTTGGTTTGAAGGAGAGGGACCTGGCACACCGATTTAACATACACCAGTCCACAGTGAGCCGCATTATTGCAACATGGACAAATTTTCTTGCCACTGCACTGGGGTCTCAGTGCATCTGGCTTACACGTGAAGAAGTGCAAGCTTACCTCCCTGAGGAATTCAAAGATTTCTCAGACACCCAGATGATCCTTGACTGTATAGAGCTGAGGTGTCAGACACCATCCTCACCACTTCTCCAAAGTGAAATGTACTCTTCGTACAAATCCCACTGTACGATGAAAGCCCTGGTTGGCATAGCTCCACATGGTCCAGTGACATTCATCTCTAATCTGTATGTTGGTTCGGTTAGTGACAAGGAACTATTCAAACAATCAGGCATTGCTGAGAAGTTGACTGAAGACATGGCAGTGATGGTAGATAAGGGCTTCCTAATCACTGATTGTTGTAAATGCAAAGTGTACTGCCCACCTTTTCTATCTAAGCAGAAGCAGATGCCAGCATACCAGGTTAAGGAGACGCAGGCCATAGCCAGACTCAGGGTACATGTGGAGCGAGTCATTAGGAGGATCAAACAGAACAAACTTTTTGATAGCATCATTACCATGTCACATGTTTATAATATCAACCAACTGTTTGCAGTGGCATGTATGCTGTCAAATTACCAGAACACAGCATTAGTTAAAAAATGGGTTAAGTGAGACAAGATGGATTTTTCCCAAGACACCAGTGCCAGTAACTTATGGAAAATGACCTGCAGCTGAGGCCACTACAGTTGCATTTCTTCCTTCTTAGCTGACAATACTTGATTACAGAACTGGTACTTGAGTGCTGATAGTTGAGTTTCAGTTATTGATAATTCAAATTCATTGCAAATGTTTAATGTTAATAATACTGTTTAATTATATTACTATATTACTATTCAGATTCAACAAAACTGTTTATCAAAATTATAAAGTAAATCACTAAATCGTTTTAAAACCATAAGTGACATTGAGCTTTTGGAACATCAAAAATACCATTTATCATTTTCTACAGTTCAGTTGTGTTATTGTCTAAATGTATATCAGTATGCTAGGCATGGAGTTTTAAATACTTACCATGTAAATAAGTTCTGCACAAATTCAACGTTTTAATGTGTGTTTTTAAAAATTAAATTGATGCCATTGCTTAAATAACAGTTTATTGATGTCACATAAAGGTAACATGTAACAACAAAAGAATTCATGAAATATATTGAAAATAAAACATCAGTTATTTTGTTCCAGCCAGCCTGAAGGATCTGTTTTTCTTTTTGCTATGTTTTTACTGTTCATTTTTTCAAACACAGGTATCTTGGCATATATATGTAAAAAAAGAAATAGTCTGCCTTTTCTCTGATTGCATTGTGTACATCTGTATCCATGTATATTCTTTGCACTAGGTAGTCCTCTTGTGCCCACACAACAAAGTCACACCACTGCATCCCACTGATGAGCAGTTGTCCTTGCACTTGCCAGTAATATGCGTGGCTCTTTTTTAGTTTAGGGGCACCACGTTCCATCTGCACATATTTGCAGTCAATAAAGTTTTGTACATTGGGACATTTGAATTCGACGAAGCCAAACTGGGGGTATTCATTGGGGTCAAAAACAACACCATCAGGAGATGCAGCAAGCAATGGGGTGAATGACCAGACCACAGGGTGAGTAGTTAACATTCATTAGCCTACTATACTCTGCTGCTATTGCAGGCTCCATCTCAGTTCCTCTCCTCATGTCTGCTGTCTGCCTTGTTCCCTTCAATATACGCTCTGCTAGTGACTCGGCCGAGCTCTGGCCTCTGACGTGACACACCTCCCGAAACCTAGAGGCAGTCACTCTGGGCCTGCGGAGCTGATGCCACTCAGACGAAGAGCTTTGCTCACGTGTAGCTTCCTCTATTTTGTGAGCCATTTCCAGAGTTACAGACAAGCTTTTCAGATGCAGAAGCTCTTCTTCTGAGCACACAAACACACAATCTGATGGCAAGATGTCATACCCCTCCAGAGGCAAGTGCGGTGTTGGTGGTGCATCGCGTTGTAGTGTGATGTACGGGGTTGTCAAAACCGGCTGCTGATATGACAGAACACTGCCCTCCTGCACCAGCCCAAAGGCACTTTCCACAAGGGGCTTGTCAGGTCTCATGTTCATTGTGGTCACAAGTGGCCTGTCCTCAATATTAAATTTTGCATATGCCTCCGTTATTCTGAACAAGCAGGGATCTGGTAACGGACCCACCATGCCTCTGTAGAAGCCACTCCTAAAGAAAACATCAATGACAATAATGTAAGGGAGAAGGTTATTCTACTGAACAACAACTAAACTAAAAACTAAAAGGTGTAAAACAGTGGTGCATAAGTTAGAGACTGGGATGTATATGTACATGACTGAGTTAGCCGTCTTCAGAAAGTGTAATGTTGTATGTAAATTAATACCTATTCTGACACATGTATGTATGAAAAAAATAGCAACATACATTTGTAACACGTGAAACCAAATTTTACAAATGTAATTACCGTACTCCAGTCTGGGCCATCCTATTTGGTACTGGCTTAGTGAAGATCATGGAGTTGATGGGTCCTGGCTTCACACCCTAACAGAAGATACATTTACTATGGATGGTGTTGCTGTTCATATGTAAACATGGACTAATTCAAAAACTTTAACCTCATTTAAATTACCACTGTCCGTGGCTTGTGCCATTGCTGTTCAGATTCCGTGCAGCTATGCACAGGGGGGACAACCGGCACTCTGAGTTGTGAGTAGTGTGCTGTTTGGAAGAGCAGTGCCACTGTGTGATTGCACATAACAGCGCCTGCCACACAGGAGCACTGGCTATGTGTCAGTATCACCGGCGATGAATCCAGAAGCTTAATCTAAGAAGAAAGAACGAAAATTAAAAATGTAACATCTTCATGGAAGAGCCGAACAGGAACATAGTTCAGTGTTATGGTTACGCACCCTCCTGAATGCTTAGTGTTTCCTTCTCTCCCTATTAAAACAACTTAACCATGCTTGATAACTGTAATAACTTAGATTGTGTATATTTGCAGTATTAACTTGTTGTCAAATGTTTCTGATCACCCAAACACACGTTGATTTAACTATCTGACTAGTCAAATTAGGAGTGATAAAGCAGGGAGACAAGGAAAACATTCAAGTTGATGGGCCTTTAGGAATGAACTTAACTAATGCTTAAATGAACTGAACCCCACTGAACGGGGATTAACAGCTTCCTGCCTACACTTAGTCTGTGTGGTGCCTCACTCTTCCTCATTGACCTGTAGCACGGGGCTCTCACACCGACCTCCCCTGACAACCTGTCTTTATTGGACACTGAATAAAGATACAAGTACCATTAGCATTATTTCTGTATTACTCATTTCAGCATGTCTTAAACATATATATTTTACACTTAGCAAGAGTAGCATTAGGTAGTTAACTACCTCCATAGTTAGCCAACTACCTAACGCCATTATAACAGTGTCTAACTACAAAAGTGACATTAGTTAAGAAAACCTCAACTATAGTTTAGGACGACATAAAACACCGTTTAAGAAAACATGTAATGTAGAGAACTGACATCAAATGAAGGACATAGCGGAGTAACGTAGTGTTTGCATTTGACGTTAGCTAGCGTTTCTTTGTCGGTTAATTTACGTTTTCTTACCTTCGTAGTTGTGTATATATGATGCAGCATATAACTTAAATCCTTTATCTAATTTGCTGGCGGGGGTAGTCATCACTCTGCAAATCCGATGAACATCGGTGATGTTCGATTTTGGGAGCTCTTGTAGGCAGCGAGTGTAGAACGTCGCCATGGTTTAACCGCACCGGAAGCACTGGGGCAGGACTACATAGAACGCGGAAGTGTTAGTGCAAGTAGTCCATTGGCTCCCTGAGCAAAAGAATGACAACACCACGGGACGAAAGTTTGATACCATCATGGGGAAGCTCGCGGTTCTCCAACGGGAGATTGAGAGACCTGTGTCGGAGTGTTAAAGAACAGCTTTGAAATTCTCATGAGTTGTTTGCAAAAGAAAAATCACCATCATAATCCGGCTACCCCTTCGGCGCCACCTGTGGGCTCAAGGCTGGAGCCGAACAAAAACTCCCTGATAACGACTGTGTTGAGTCTGTTCCTTCCCATTCCATGCAAGGCCACCTGGGTTGGCTGGAAGACTGTTTACTTAGCCTGGCAGGGCCAAGGACACTGTCTCAGCTGAACTATGGACGCGCACATACATACATATACTGATACTGATAACCACTTACTGACGCATCACCCTCCCTACCCCGGATCCAACGCCACCTCCAACGCTTACCTCTGATGTGGATATCGAGTCAGCTGGAGGCGCAGTCGAAGATTGCAGCGGTCCCAGATCAGATGTACACACTGGAACACTTTCCCATGTTGCTTGTCTGTGTTTATTGTGCTATGGTGTGTTGATACCTGTGCATTCCTATATTATCCCTTTGTGTTACACATTTCGATGTTTTTTTCCTCGCTGCTTAGCCTGACCTGTCTCCCCAATGTGATGTTTGTGTATTGTATGTACGGTCGGCAAGGTCTGTCATCTCGGTTGTGGGCAAAAGACCTGCAACTGACAAATAAAGGCTATCTCATCTCATCTCATCATCTCAAAGGGCACATTTAACAACACTCAGTTGGTACTGAGGGGCTGAAAGTGTGCCAAGAAATGATCCCTCAACCATTACACCTCTGCCACAAGCTCAAACCATTGTTACAAGGCAGGATGGATCCATGCTTTCATATTGTTTACTCATCTTGTTCCGAATTCTGCAATCAGTACGCAGGCTCCTCAGACCAGGCAACATTTTTCCAATCTTCAGCTGAGCCTGTGTGAATTGTAGCCTCAGCTGCACCTGGGGCGCTTCATCTGCTTTAAGGTTTGACATGTTGTGCATTCTGAAATGCTTTTCTGTCTAAGTTAGTTGTAATTACCTTCTTGTAAGCTCAAAGTAGTTTGGCAATTCTCCTGTGATCTCTCTCATCAGCAAGACATTTTTGCCCAGAGAGCTGCCGCTCACTGGGTATTTTGTTTCTTGGAGAAATAAATGCGTGAGAAAATCCCAATAGATCGGTGTTTTCTGAAATACCAACAGTCATGCTACACTCATAGTCACTTAAATCAAGTTTCGCCCCTATTCTGGTGCCTCTGCTGGATGTGTTGGCAATAGGTTCAAATCACGGGCCAGGGTATGTGACTAGTAAGGGTCCCCAGGCGAGACCCTCAACCACGTTGAGGAACCAGGACATGCTGATGACAAATGGACTGAGAACATGGAATTGATGTGCTGCACATTGCAGGATGAATTTTAATAATTTAGGAGTTGGACTTTTCCTTTGTTGAGAAAACAAATAAAAACACAAAGAAGCTGAAATAAGCTTGGCAATCTTTATTCAGTACCGAATCTTACAGATTCTTACCGGTGATTTAATTAGAATAGTTTAACATTTTAAATTACTTCTACAATATTTTAAGGTCACGGAAAGAGAATTTGTGCGAAGTAATACACAAGAACATAAATTGACAAATTGTGGAAATATTCATATTAAATGCCAGTTTTGGAGACTTGACATCAAGCTTAAATATGCAGCGACTTCTTAAAATCCTTGCAGTTTGAAGGTTGCGGACCTTTTGTTTAGTCCCTTACTGCTAAAATTCCCCACATTCCAGATTACAAAACATCTTGTCGAGAATTAACATATCTTTACATAATAACGTATTATAATGAGTAGCTTCAACTGAGCCTCATTCAGACTTTTCTTGAAAGACAATATATGGCACGACTGAGCATCAAGTGGAATCCTAGACAAGCAGTAAGATTTTAGTACGATCAGCAGACTGTTATCTGAGCCGTGTTGTCGGCTGTGTCGTGTCAAACTGGGGCAATACTCTCTTTGTTTTCACGACATAAAAAGATAGTGGCTTTATTTGTTTTCCTTTTTTCAGAGCATTAGCAACTTAATGTTCTTTGATGTACAGGAGCTGATGCATGTTTGATGAACACGCTGTGACTAAGAAGATAATTGAAACGCAAACGCTTAGTTTGCCACCTATTTCCCTCCAACAGTTTCCTTCTTTGTGTTTTTCTCCTGCTCCCTTTCCCGCAACCTAAAACCGACCGAAAACTTTACGACCAATTATTTTCACCCGTTCACCCGTGTGCTCTCCCCCATCCATTCTTCATTCTCCCCGCTGTTGTTAATATTTAACAAAGCTGTCAGATTTGAAGTGTTTTGAAGATGGTAAGTGTTTCTCTGTTGCTATCCAGTATAATACTCATGACCTTGTTTTTCAAAGCAAGCAGTTGAGGGGTTTTTAATATGTTCTTTGAGGCAACAGCACTTTTGCATTATTGTTGACTTAATTGTTTTTCACTTGTTTGTCAAGTGTTTAGTGTAAATATTCTCACAAATTATTTAATATCAAAACTCTCTGATGGGAATAAACCAATGATCCGAATCTTCTTTAACACACTGTAACATATAACAACGCAGGATCTGCTTTCAGCAGCTGGAATCACTGGATTACACATTTGCTAATTTATTCAGTCACTTCATTAATAAATTATGAAATAATGACTGAAACAGAGCTTTGCGCCCAAGTCCCGTGTTTGCCGATCAGTGCTCTGCAGATCATTGGATCAGCAGCGTTGCAGCTAGACTCAGGTGACAACGTTTAAGCAGTGTTGGCAGCTGTGGATTGCGTGCAAGCCTGTTCCAGGGCAGTATGTCAGGTCTGCACAGCGAGGGTAGGAATTAGTTCACTAGGCTGACAGAGGCAGGTTATATAAGTCTGAAATTTTAATGTAGGGAATTCAGTGAGAATGGAGAGCCCTGGTCAGAGCTAACAGTGGTATGGGTTTGACTCCACGCCAGCTACTTGCAAGAACGTGTTATAAATGTGTCCATTACTCCTGAATACCTGCTGTTAACAAAAATAGACCAAAGTAGACTTGAAGTGAATGAATTTAGAATTTTCAGGGAAACATGTAGCCTATTAAAATGCAACACTGCAGACAGAGAAGAATTCCAACCCACATTTTTTTCCATCATAGATGCCTGTCACAGTCCAGTAGACATTTCCTTGTGATAGATGTCATTCCATGTATGCCCTACAATAAATGAGTGACCGTGGTTTCCTTCCTACAGACTCCCATTTTACAGGCTATAAATTTATGCTAGCTGTTTAGCTTTTTTGTCTTCAATTACTTACCAAAAGTAGTTTATAAATACATTTCAGAGTCTCACTTTAAACTCATCATTTTGGTTTTATACACAATGTTTTCAGACTTAAATAAAGAAAAACATAAAAATATACAATTTATTAAATTAAGGGAAACAAAAACGGAAAACCAAAACAATCGACTCTTCTTCTTGTTTTTAGCAGTGAATAGGGACACTGAACAATTAGTATAAAGCAGGTACCACTTTTGAATGTTTAAATGTTTAATATCTCATTTTGGAACCCAACCAGCGCACGTCTATGTGGTACTTCTGTTGCAAGCTCACTCATTGTTAGCTGGAGTTTTTCACACAAAAAAAAGTATCTGACTGAGGGAAATTGAACCTACTATGACATTAGAGGTGAAATCAACCACATTAAATGAGATGTGAGATTTATTGCCACCCGTACAGTTATGTGACTGTGAAATAATTGAGGAGAAGGGAGGTGAAGGCTATCTGACTGATCAGCCATGGTCACTAGTGGCAGCACAATCTGTCATAGTTAACACCTACTTACTCCATGTTAACCACGGGGCATGCCTCATTATTCACTCCCTCACATGTGAGAGGCAACATGTGAATACATCAGCACATGCACTATTACTATGCTCCGTTGTGTGATGCATTGCAAAGATCTGCCCAGGAAGAGAAAAGGAAAAAAATTATGAAGGCTTAAAGAAAGACAGGAAATAAATGTTCAGTCCACTAATAAGGAGCTATAGGCTTCATATTTTGATGTAGAGCAAAGACACAGGAGTGGTTATGGCTATACTGACACATTGTTTAGCTCACCAGTGATGATTTTTTTTTAATTTCAGTACAAGATGAAATATGTATGGGGTTGTTTGGTAAGGGTGTCAATCATGAGCAATAACAAACTCTCTTTCAGGACAGCTCTAGCAGCATCCAAGTAGTCGTAATAACTTTAAACCCAATTAGCCAGCGGAGCTTATCCTCCCTCCTCCACCCTTTAGACATGCCCATGCCTGCAGGATCACTGACAGACAGACAGACAGCTTGTAGTTAAGTTTAAAAAGATCTGAAAATGTGCAAGCAGTGGCATGCAATTCAGTTAAATTAAATTAAATTATTCATATATTGCCAATTTACAACAGCAGTTACCTCAAGGTTCTTCATGTTATAAGGTAAAGAATCCCAGTAATCGCATGACACCTTATCAGTGAGCTTGTGGTGACAGCGGGAAGGAAGAACTCCTTTTTTTTACTCCCTTTTTATAGGAACCAGACCCAGGGAGGAGCACCCATCCACCCTGACTGGGTGGGGGTGAGGGGAGGGAGAAGAGAGCAGAGAGAGACAAAAGGCAAACTATAGCAAAGCGAGACAGAGTTTATTCATTGTTAATGATTAAATACAGTAGTGGTGTATGAACCACTTTTTTGCAGTTCATATTAGTTCAACAACCACACAATGATTGTGTCTGTTCCAGAGGTGGGTGTTTGTCATGAAGGACTCGTACTATCTTT